TAAAATTTTATACAAACTGACAAACAATTATTTTAGATTTCGTCTCTGCAAAATAAAAAGTTTTGATTTTGATTCGTATAATTTTTTTTAGTTTTTCATTGTTATAAAATTAAGAATTATTATTTTTAGTTCCTATTATTATATAATTATTTTAACTATTTATTTATTTATTAAAAAGTTAAGTGATCTTGTACAATTAAAATGTTAAAAAGTTAAAATGTTATCTACAATTATTATTAGGGGGTAATAATCTAATAAATCCAAATTGGATTGATTTGAACTATCGAATCAATTAATATTTAAAAATTAGAAAACTAATAAATTTGATTCGAATATCTTATTTTGATTTTTTTAGTCAAACCAAACTAATCCGTCTAATTAATTTGATATATTTTTTTATTATTTTATTATATTTATTTTGGTTTATCAATGCTAGACTCATAATAAAAGATAAAGAAAGGACAAGTGACTCATTCAATTTATTTATTTATTTATTTTTAAATTGACTCATTCATTTAGTATTAAAGTATAAAAATGGCATTAAATTTGTTTGTTTATCTCATTGTGAATGTCCACTTATTTGTGAAAATTGAGTATTAATTATATAGTGGACTTTTTGTTGTGTTGGTGTTGAGTGTTATGTTGAGAGTAACATAATAAATTTGTAGATTGTGGTATTGATATATTTAAGTTTTAATTTAATGATATTAGTTGTTAAAAACAAATTTATCTATACTTATTATAAAGAGGATACTGAGTTATATAATTACTTTTGGTCTCCATTTTTTAGTAAACAATTATACCATTTAAATATAAAAAAAAATTTCTTATATCCTTTGTAAATAACTACTTTCAACCTTCTAATTTCTTGTATATGTGTAATTATTAGAGATACAAAATATCTCGACCCCTTTAGTAATATTAAATGTTTTATCAATTGATAACATGAAAATATATTTTAAAAATTATCTAATGTGATTTTTTTATTTAAGGATAAATTCAATGAACATATATAATACAAACCGAATATGATTGGATCAAATTAGAGACTTAAAAACAAAAAAATAAAAAAATAAACGTACTTTATCCTATTAAAGTTAATCAGATTGGATCAAAATATGTTTTAAATTCAATTAAATCCAATCCATACTCATATATGTTATATATGTATACGTGTGACAAATGTCCAACCTTTTTTTTATTATAAATTCTTAAAATATATATTATTTGTCTACCTTCTTATTATTATTAGAAATCAAAAGTAGTAATTTTAGATTTTAGAAAGATAAAAATCAAATAAAAACATTTTACAAATACTAAACTCAAAAGTTACTCACGATTAAAAATATTTTACAAAATTAAAAACAAATATTTACCAATCTTAAAAAAATGAAAAAATTTACAACAACCAAAATTAAAATTCGCTAATCTTAAAAACATATTTAAGTCATTATTTTATTTTATTTTAAGTTGATTCTAAGTAATTTTTATGTATTAATCTTTTAAGTATCAATAAATACAAAAGAGAAGTGTGTCATCCCATGCGTTCAAAACCGCAGAGACCAGCTGCTGTCACGTTGGAACACGGTCTTCATGTGACTACAAAATTATCATTAGTTCATTACACGTTCAATCAATGCATTCAACAGTTTCTACCTTCATACGCTCCAGTCAAATTTTTCATTCAATCACATCCTCATCTGATTAATAGCTTCAACCACAATAAATCACATCAGTTAGCATCCTCTTAGGCCACACCCATTCCACTTTTTTAATAAACCACCAATAATTTAACTTTGATTCATCATTTCAACATGGATAAGAATGCCAAATTATATAAAATCATCTTTAATTAAAGATTAATCTGCTAGACTCATTATTGAGGCTCAGAAAAGATCATCTTAGTGTGACAGGTAGCATATAAAGGTTACCAACTCAGAAAATGGAAAAAACAAAACCCCACAAGCCAAAACAATCTTCCATGTTGTGAGTGAGATACAACAACAACGAAAACAGCAAAAGATTTTATTTTTCTTTTCACTTTCTTCGACTCCTCAAATGGGCATGATGAGAAAACGTTACTCTCATTCTCACCCTTTTCCTTTTCCTTTTCTCTTCACTGTTTTCTGCTTCCTCCTTCTTCATCCCATGACAGATGCAGATAACACAAACTTCGTTTACAAGGGTTGTGCAGTTCAGAAGCTGCACGACTCATCATCACAGAACCTCAAAACCCTCTTGGTTTCTCTGGTGGCACAGGCTGAACAAAAGGCCTTCTTCACCACAACCTCAGGGGAAGGCCAGAACGTGATCATGGGTCTCTACCAATGCAGAGGGGACCTCTCAAACACTGCATGCTACGACTGCGTGAGCAAGATTTCCGACATGCTTGAAAACTTGTGTGGCAAGGTGGTGGCTGCGAGAGTTCAGCTTATCGGGTGCTACCTGAGGTACGAGGTTGTCGGGTTCAAGCAGGTTCCTGAAACTCAATTGCTTTACAAGGTTTGTGGCTCCAAGATGGAGGGTTACGATGATGGATTTGAGGAGAGGAGGGACTCTGCGTTTGGTATGGTGGAAAGTGGTGTGAAGAATGGTGGGAAATTGTTTTACACTGGAAGCTATCAGTCTCTCTATGTGTTGGGGCAGTGTGAGGGTGATTTGGCCAAAGATGATTGTGGGGATTGTGTGAAGAGTGCTGAGGATCAAGCCAAAGCTGAATGTGGTGACTCAGTTTCTGCACAGGTTTATCTGCACAAGTGTTTTATCAGCTACAGTTTTTACCCCAAGGGAGGGTCCAAGTCCAACATGTCATCTTTTCCAGGTACAGCAATACAGGAAATTTCTTCTTTCCCTTATTTCGATGCTTACCATGATATTACTAACATAATCATACAAGTTTTCAATTTTTTGTTTGTGGCTAATTCACAATGAGATCACATGGATTCCAATAAGTAGTGTTATACAAGATTTTTCCTTTTAAGGTGAAAAAAATGAAATGTATTATTGATGTATAATTGTGAACTGATATGGTTCTTATTAGTTTGAAAATTGGGTCTAATTTCATTTGGGGAAGGGACTCATTGGGTCTTAGAACTTAGTAGGAGGATGAGGATGTCTTGTGCTCAAGATTAATTTCCACTTTGCACTGTGTTTGATTGGATCAGGGTCACTGGGGAACCAGGACACGCTGAGGACTATTGCTCTTGCAGTGGGAGCGTTTGCAGCTTTGGGTTTCTTAATTGCTTGTTTGTTATTTCTCAAGTCAGTGTTGAAGAAAAAAGATGATAAGTATTGAGAATTGGACTATATATATCATGAATCCATTGGTGGTTAATACATAGTTTATATTATAATATCTTAGGTGAATGAATATACTTGAAGACTCTGTATATAGGATCAAAGGTTTAAAATTAAGAAATAACTATCATAATTTATTGTTGGTATTCCATAATTGATATATATGCTTTTGAGATGGATGAATTTGATTTGTGGCATGAAAGGATAAAGAAAAATGTGGGACATATGTTCATTAGGTGGTGTGTGATAGATCTGTGTCCCTACATGGTAACACGTTTGCAAACAAACGTTCTACATCTAGCAGATTATGTAGAATAATGTATACGTTTTTTTTATTCTCTGTGACTTGAAAAAAATAGTGAAACTTGACTCTCCAGCGTATGTATCCAAACAAAACAAACAGCCTTTCTCTTTTATTACCTTTTTCGTTTAAGGTAGACCCCTCCTTTGTTGGTCGAACTGTCGCTTCTCTAACGCACTTTTAATTAGTCTGCTGCTTTACGTGACATGCATATCTCAATGCCCTCCATGAAATAAAAAGAGGCAAAATAGGATAAAGAAATGAACTGGAGTATAAAATTTTTATTGTCTCTAATTATACTTTGGTTAAACAATTCTTTTAGTATAAAGATAATCTAATCAGAGTACTTTATCCTGAAGCATTTGGGGCCATTGCACCTTTTGCTTTTTCTTTTATCCCTCGTAAAAAACACACATATAAAAGCATATGAAACAAGCTGATATAAAGAAAACGGGAGAAAAAAGCATATGAACGTAGTTGAGGCTTGGATCTAGCCTAGTGCACATAACCTCGACATGATTGAAGACAACAAATCTTTTCCAACATATGTTGAACAGAAAGAATATAGGACCCAGATAAAGACTTTAACTGAGCCAGAGGTACTGCAGAGGAACGTATCACTAGACACCAATTAACGATATATATGACTAAGCTGTCAAGGATGCTGCAAAAGTAATTGCAGAAAACAAATTACTCTACAGTTAATAAGGTGCTTTTTGGTCTACGATAATTACAAGTGGTTGGCTTCTCCACGTCGAAAGATAATTAGATGGCACAATCAGTTAAAAAATTAATAAAAATAGCTGACAAATAAATTTTGTGAGGATGATTTTCATAGGTCAAGTGGGTCGTTGTAGTATGTTTATTTAAGGATGATCCTTTCAACTTTTCACTTAGTTTTTTAAGTGTCATTGTGCTTAAGGTTGAACAGTTATATATCGTTCTTGACTCATGACCTTTTTACTTTTGATCGACCATCTTAATATTGATTTGATGCATAAATAATCTACATTTTTCTAAACTTATGGATTTGACCCATGAAATTAAAAAAATATATATAATTATTATTAAGAGCATCAATCTAAACAGATTAGAAATGATTATTTATACCATGATAAAATATTTTATGAAAAATAAGATAAATAATAAATTAAAAGATAAAGACATATGTGATTTAATAGGATAAAAAATATAACATACTACTATATAATGTTAAAAAAGAGAAGAGATAATTAAATTTTCACATTTTAATGTTTTGGATAGAACTATCATAAGTTTTGTACCAGAACAAAAGTATAATCCCAAACAAATCACAAACACAATTTTTAAAATATTAACTAGAATAATAATAGGCAAAATAAAAGATCAATTTTTATTTATTTTATAAATAAGTAAACAGGAAATGCCACACTAATATTTGTCTTTATAAAAAAATTTAATCTTATGCACAAGTTTTTATTTAAATTTATAAAATTATTTTTCCAAGAATAAGAAAATAATGGTTTTATTGTATTTGTATTTTTATTTCATCAATAATTATAAGATTTTAATGAATATACATTGCTAGTGTAACTGATAACCAATCAATATATTAAAAAGTTGTTAACCAATAAAAAACATGTTTATTATAATCTATAAAATAGTTATCATTGATGTTAATGAACTTATTATACATCATAATTTAAAATTAGATTATAGTGAATATATATCTTATTTTCTCTAATTATAAACAGCAACCCAAAGAGTGGCAGTGGAAGATATAAGCTATAACCGTCAGCATTAGATTAAACTAACGTCCACAAATGTGGTTCACCAGAGATCGTTATATGGAGACAATATGTCAAATATTT